AAAAAAAAAGTCAATCTCCATTTCATGTAGTGGGTCTTATGGGACCTAATTAAAATATGCACATAAGTCTTTCAGGAGACATGAGAGGTAAGAGTCATGCACTGTTTTACATATGTGAAGAGATAACCTTGTATATTGTGGTGTTCATCAACTCCATGAAAATAGATCGTGAACCACCACCAAAAATATCATTTGGCTTTAAAGACTGAATGTACTGGGTTTCTACAATTTCTTTAGGTTTTTGAGGTGGAAAGGTGGAACCAGAGGAGGTAAACAGTTCATATTAAGGCAGATTGAGGCTCAGCAAGTCCCAGATTTCCAGCAGGACTGAACTCCCTGAGTCACATCAACTTTGGGTGGAAATTCACTGGGGGGTGGGGGAAGCAAAAACTAATCTGTCAGACATGAGAAAGCAGGGCCTGATGATGGCTATAGCATCCCTACAAATCAAAAATATTAAGAATCATTCTCCCTCAGCACACATAATTCAAAATAAAGACTACTCAAAGCCACAACATAAGTGTAAAAGATTCTCCTATGGTAACTACCTGATCGATTAAAATATTTTTAAGTTTTACTTTCTCTGTTGCTGCAGTCCTAAACACGTCCTTGGTCTGCCTGTTAGCTACCTTAGCACTCCTAGTGAGGTGGGGAAGGGCGGCTATGGGGATGGTCATTTGAGAGAAGGGAGGTGCGAGGCTGGGGACAGCTCGAGAGCAGTGTTCTTGTCCAGTCACAGGGCAAACAGAATAAAGAGACACACCCAGCATGAACTCTAGAGTGGGTGGGTTTCAAAATGTATACAGAACAGTTCCTTGTAGGTCCCAAGCACTGGGTACTTAGTGTATGATTTACACACATTTTCTGGCTGGAAGGCTGGAGGCAAACAGACAGCTCATTAGGAAAATAACTGAAGAGCTAAATATAATGGAGGAAGTAGGCAGCAGATCCCAGGCAGATGAGCACGGCTCACAGTCCTTCACGGGAGAGCAGAGGCCAGGCCAAACCAATGCGTCTGTCCCTCAAAGGTCAGTCATTCTAGGGCTTTGTCAGACTAGGAAGGGAAAGGAATGTTTTCAAAGGGCCTTTTGTGGAACACACACAACTCTGGCCCCGGAGATTCAAATCAGGATCTGGAAACCTGTGTAGCAACTGCTTGTATGCAGAATGCTTAGAAACCAGCCAGGGCCCTCCATCCTTTTTTTTCCCCCCTTCGCTCTTTATGAGCATTAAGGTTTCCCTGTAGTTGGGGAAGAGATCACTAAAAAACAAAACAAGATACAAATAACCCAAACCTGAAGTTATTCCCTTATTTTTGAATAAAATCAAAGAACGCCACATAATATTTTTTGTTAGATGTTATTCAGAAAACTATATAGGAAATATATTTTAAAAATTCAAGACATTACTATTTGTATCATAGATCATACTGCTTAGTGGGTAATGCAATTCTAATCATAAACCAAACCTATGAATATATCAGCAATAAACTTGTTAAAAATTGAAATATAACTTAAAGTAGATTCTCAATTGTTTTTGACCTCTAGTTTCTTTTGCTGGATCCTATCTTCCATGTACATTATCATTTCTTTCTTTTGCTTAGCATGGCCAATAATGCTTCTCAGTCCTTTTCCATCTTCAATGAGTACTATAAACATTAGGAACTCTCTCAAGAAAACGTGGGATTTGTGCCTTTGTTTACAATTTTGCACCCCCCAGTGTCATTTAGTTTTCAATCAGCACACAGCTCTTGTTTGTCTTATTTACTTGGTTTTCCTAGATCTGCACCCTCAAGGGCTCTGGGCTCTTCAGATTTTGTGTTGTGAGGAGAAGCCCATGCCCCAAGGGTAGAAAGCTTAGCCCCCTTCCCTGGCTGGTGCCCCACTTTTTAGTCTGGGGCCTATGGGTTTTCTGAGATTCAGTTTTTGTAACTGTTTACAGAGGTGTTTTGGACATTGAACAAAATAATGACTATAAAAGCTCTACTTAGATGCAAATTATGTGTTATTATTAGTAAAGTTTCTATTTTATTCCAAGACAGAGGAACAGTGGTAGTCATTCATTTGGTATTTCTTTTATTCCTGTCACTTGTTTTACATGTTTTCCCCATCTATTTCTGTCCACGGTTCTCTTCAGATTTCGTCAGTTTAGAATGCTATTGTCATTATTGAGTCATGATGCTGAGTCAGCCATTGAGAATATGAATCAGCTGAAACTAAGGGAAGAAATATCTCAAGTCCAGTAGGACCTGACTATATGGAGTCAACTTCTGTTGAAGACAAAGAACCGTCTTGCGTTGTAAAATTCTAAGTAAAACTGTAAGTCAGAGTAATAAGCCAGAACTTCTAGGGCAAAGGACTAGGGAACTCAACAGACAATGAATAAAGAGTCAGAGGAATTTACGAATAGCTGCAGAGGGCAGTTTTGAACCTGCAGGCCTAGTAACCTGTAATCACCCTTGAAGACAGGAATATTGTAATCTCAGCAAGCTGAATAAAGGAGGCTAACCAGTGAATCAAGCCTATAGTTACGCAATGTCTTGCCTTGCAGTTCCGAAAGCTTGCTGACAATAGGTTCTCTTTCTCTTCACCCTTTCATTGAAATTTCTTGACCCAGGAGGGTTGAACACCTGGTAGAAGCCCATGCCTAAATCAAATTCCGTAAACATTGGTCATTATCTTCCACCATGTTTCAGTTGTGATTGATGTATTTATAAATCAACAATTCAAATTTGTCTGTGAAACCCTAGTGCAGAGAGTCTCAATCTTTGATTTTAAGCCATAGCCCCTTTGGAAGTCTGGCAGGGCCTATGGACCACTTCTTAGAATGATGTTCTTAAAAGTATAAAACAGAATTCATAGGATACTAAGGAAACCAATTATACTGAAGAATAGTTATCAAACATATAAAAAATGAGTGATAAAGTAACATAGATGCTTCTTAATACATTAAATAAGATGTATTGTGGGTTTAGTAAGTACTGTACCTTCAAAGTAGTGATGAATGTTAATGATATTTCAAGGTATTGATAGCAATGGTTGGTGACAAAGTCGCAGGAAACTATTATGCTTTGTTGCCTAGCTTCATAATTGAAAGAAATACTAAATTTCAGTTACAGGTTAGTGAAAATAAATGAGTGAGTCTTTCTCCCATCCAAATATATAGATCCCCGGAATGCCATCTAAGAGCCCCCTGGGTGTCTGTGGACCCAAGATAAGCACTCCCACCAGGGTGGCTTCTTTGCTTCTGGTCCAAAGGACAGGCACTTGGATTAAGATGAACAGCATTACTTGTATCTTCTTGGTGTATCTACATATAAACCCAACTTTCACAGCTTCGCTCCAAATGGCATTCTTCTGTTTAATGGCAAGAAATAAAGGTAAAATTCATTTGGGAACTAGAGGCAATGTATACTTGTTTTGTGCTTTTGCTAAGGTGACCAGATATCCCTACAACAGCTGGTCAAGGTTTTAGAGTACGTGTCCAAATAAACTTTTAGAGTCATCTTGACTTTATGTGAGGGTTTCCAGGGCCCTTAGGGAAGCCAAGAAGGCTAGTAAAAAAGTGGGCTAACAGCAAGATAAAGGTAAGCTAAGGCCCACATTAAGATGTGACAGAGAACAGGAACAGAAAGAGGCAAGGAATGTTTGGGCTCAGGCGTCAAAATAAGCCCAGGTGGGGCTGTTTTGTACAATTTCAGCCCCAGGTCCCAGGCCTGGGGCAGCCACACGGTGTGGGCCAAACAAGGTGTTTTTACTAATTTCACAGTGAACACTTTTTCAGTCACTCCCCCACATGAGTAGAAACAAAAACAAAACCTACTATTTTAGTTTGGGGGAGCTAGTTTTATTTTAGGGGCTTAAAGGAAGCAAAGAAGGTACTGATGTCCACAATTAAGCAATACTGATATAGAATGTATGCTTCAGGAAGCAAAAGGATTTAACAGATCTTAGAAGTAATATACTTTAACCTTTCAGTGACATAGGTTTTAATTTTGGCATCGTTATTTTTTAGGAGATGTTGCTACAATGTTTTTCTTTTAATGTGTACAACTTTTGCAGTAAATTGTATTGGCATCAGCCAAATTTTATATACATACAGGTACACATACATGTATTATATGTGTATGTGTCTGTGTATGTAGATACATATAGTTTTGTTTTTGTATGTCTTATTGGCTAATACCTGGAGAAAGAAGCATCCCTTTTAGAAAATAAAGGATAGTAAATCAAAGGGATGATACCTGTGTGCTCATGTTTACTTACTCATTTTTTCCTGAGTCACACAGTATTTCCAAACAAATGTCTGAGGTTGCGGCACATCCTTTGTTAAACGTTGAGTCAAAACTGGATGAGGGAACTGCTATGAATAGAAAAAAGGGAATTCAAGTTGTATGGTAGGTTTAGGAAATGTGGAAATGAGATCATATTTAGAGAACAAAAAATTTACTTCTGAAAATAACTGCGTTTCTGAATACCGTATCATCTAACTGGGGGCAGTACTCTGGGTGATGGAGGAACTGCCAGTGTCTCTGGGAGATGGACTTGGTTGGCTGAAGGCAGAGGTCTGGGAGCAGCTGCTGCTCCTCTTGAGAAGTGGGAATGCCAAGGGGGCAAGGGGGCAGCTTTCCAGGTTGGCCTCGCGGTTATCTGTGCCCTTTGTTCAGTGCATGTCTTTCATAGCAGTCTGAATGTGCCCTGTGGCATTCTCAGACTTCCTTTTGGTTTCTATGTTTCTGAGAAGTGGCGTAGTCTCAGTTTGGTCCCAGCTCAGAAACTCTACAGCCACGCTGATACCATTCTCTGCATGTGGGTGTGGTGACACTGGCCCTTGGAATCCTCTCATTTGCCATCCCCTTTCACAGAAGGATAATGGTTAAAGTCCCAGCCATGGTTCTTCTATCCAGGGATGTGGTCTCAAAATTTAACTATAGGAAAAATACCACCATGAAGTTTCCCTAGAACTCATCTTTGCAGTGTCTTAAATGGAATTGTGAAACATTTGGGGTCCTTTGCTCCCAATAAAAATGTGTTCCCTGCTTTTCTTTCAAGAAGCCATTTCCTTCCTGGAATATTTTTAAAAAACACACTGCACACAGTGTTCTGGGAGCTGCAGGAGGATTAAGAATGACCTTTAGCCGAGGAACCAGGCAGCACAACTACAGGAGATTTTGACCTATTTTCTTTTTTATGTGTATAATATTGCACCTCTATGGAAAACACTGGCGAGGTTCTAAACCAGCCTCAAGCAGGTGCTAAATATTCTCAGAGAGATGGCCTTGAATTGGTAGAGAAATTGGCTAAATACACACCAGGGTAAGCCCAGTTCCAATCTGTTACAGGCATGTCCCATTCAAAGGAGGGGTTGGGATTTCTTTTAAAAGGACAGAATATAAGATAAAGTGTACATTATGATAATACCATTTCCTTACACCAGCTATTACTTGACAGTTTGAGGAACACTTTCATGATTGTCTCATTTGATCTTTTTAGAGATAAGGTTAACAGAGCAATGATATAGTTGCGTTATACAATTATATAGCAGATGGAATTAACAAGGGCGTAAGAACACTCAGCTTTAAAAAAAAAATCTTCCTCTGTGTTAAATAGTTAATATGACAGAACAGATATGGCAATGAAAGGATGAAGTATGATAAACAGAGTTAATTCAGAAAGAAAACAAACATTTATGGAACACTTACTGTGAGCCAGGCACTGTGCAGGGACCTTGGCAGGCATTATTCCATTTGATTCTGACAACAGTTTGGAAGCATTGAGTATTTTAACAAAGACAAAACTGACGATCAGAGAGGAGTGATTCCACTGAGGGCGTAAAGTAATTGTACAATCTGAGAGGTGAGCCCATGTCTGTATTGTAAAGCCCATTGTCTTGTCATCATAACACCCTACCTCAAGTTACTTAGGATGAACGTTGCCCACCAGTTCTTCTCTTTCCTTTTAACTTTTATTATCATCCCTTCAGAGGGTGTGATCACACTCTCCATAGGGCCTTTCATCATCATTATCACCATCATAATGTGATCATTCACTGACCCCATTTAATGCATCTTACTATTGTTGCTTATAGATTTCTCATCTTACCCACATTATACTATATGTTCTTTGAAAGTAGGTCTTGGAGTCTTACTCATTTTTATACCTTAAGCAGCATCTTACATACTGTTTTGCATCTAATATCTACTCAATAAAAATTTTTGAATGAAACTAAGTGAAGCAAAATGCTTGTAATCCAGGGAGCCTATTAACTAAAGAGTTTGAAGAAAAAAATAATGTTCTAGCTAAAGGATGGTAGTGTAAAGTTATATATTCTTTACCTCCTTCCATGAAACCTACAAAAGGGATGAAATTTAAAACGATGAAATTTTGATAGAAAAAGTCCATGTGCAATGAAACTAGGAAATAGCTAAAATCTCAAATCACATTATCTGCCCAAAATAGTGAATCAGGACCAAATCAAGGGAGGGTATAGAAAGCTGAGACACACCTTCTGGGTTCCAATTAGCATTCAGATTTCTCTCAAAGTGAGTGCTATAAGGGGCCCAGGTGCTACTCTTTTACTCAGAGCAAGGACTGAAGGTGTGGTTGAGACACAAGAGAAATGCACCCTCTGGGGGATTGTTCTACATAGTAGAGCAGAGAGGATGGTAGACAGATGGAAGGACATCATTGAGCAAGACATATTTATTTTTCCCCCAAATAGAATTCCTATTTAGGAGGCAAGGCAGAGAGGATGAAAAAGTGGTAATGGCAACCAGATTTGCAGTGGTTGATCAGATTCAAACAAGGAACTACAAATAAACAGAAATAACCAAACAAAAGATAGAGCCAGAGTCTCTCATGATCCTTACTGACATTGTGCTTGGGTGATCTACTCACTCAAGAGAATATGATGAATATGGCTAAAAACTGAGGAATCAGACCCAATCTGAAACCTGTAGCTGCCCTAGCTTACCCACTGACTCCCCTCCATAACAACCCTCCTCTCCAAGCCAGGAGAGAAGTGCATTCCCTTCAGAGCGGAGTCTATGTTTTCATGTAGCCTTAGGCATACCAATAACACCAAAAGCAAATTAAAAAAACAAACAAAAAATGAAAAGGAGGCAAGAAACTCAACAATCAGAATGCAGATGAAGATTAGTGTTAAAAAGAATTATTCCAGGGCTTCCCTGGTGGTGCAGTGGTTGAGAGTCCGCCTGCCGATGCAGGGGACACGGGTTCGTGCCCCGGTCCGGGAAGATCCCACATGCCACGGAGCGGCTGGGCCCGTGAGCTGTGGCCGCTGAGCCTGCGCATCCGGAGCCTGTGCTCCGCAACGGGAGAGGCCACAACAGTGAGAGGCCCGCGTACCGCAAAACAAAACAAAAAAAAAAAGAATTATTCCAGCAAACCAAATCATCTCAGATGCGTATCTATCTCCACTCCCAAAGAAATAAAAGAAAAATACATCTTTTAAAGATAATTTGAAAATGAAATATAAGAGATCAAAGAAGAATAAGCAAAAGAAGTTAAAGTAAGCTGAGAGTTATGAAAGGAATTGAAGATAATAAAAACATCCTAGAAATGAGAATCACATTAGAACAGATGTTGAAAACGTATTCAGCAAAGCAGAGGTCAGACAAGAGAGAATAAAATAGCATTTGCAGGATGAAGGAAACTCAAATAAATGAAATTAAGTAGAAAGAAGATGACGGTTATTAAAGACAGCCAGCATCCAGTCAGCATATGAGATAATGGTATCCCTGAAGTAGAGAACAGAACAAATGCAGCAGGAAATAAAAACGTCAAAAATAAAATTAAACTCCCCTGATAAAAAGTATGATCTGACTCTGCAGATGAAGAGATTTCAGGGGAAAAAACTGATCACAGAATAATCAACACAATGACATGTAAGTCAAGTTACTGAAATTTAAGGACAGTGTAAGAATTCCTAGGCATCTACTCAGAAAAAGCAAATTTCCTATAAGGGGGAAAAGAGCAGGCTGACCTCAGATTTCTCAACAGAGGTATTCAATTAGAGAAAAAAGTGGACAACAAAGTCTAGTCAACCACAAGATGAATCAAAATTAAGTCTCAGGAAAGGGGAAGGCATAGTGTTAAAGGATGAGGTAGAGCCTAGAATTTGTTTACTATAGAGCTAAACCAAATGCACGTAAAATTATGGTTAAAGAACAATGTAACTATTGTAAATCCTAAACATATAAAATAAACATACAATATAATATGATGTAATAGTCCAAAATTTTCAGTAGGGAAATTAACCTTTTTTCTTCTCTCCTCATTCATAGCATCAAAGGATGCTGAATTCAAGAAACAAAATATCCTCGATCACTTTTAGAAACTGATGCACCATATTTAAAGTGTTTACATTTGTAACTCATTTCTGAACATCCTGTAAACAGTCTTTGTAGTTTGTGTTTTTCTCATGCTTTAAGAGGATTTAGTGAGTGAGGCAAGGTAGGGATTGTCAGCAGGGATAGTGACTAAAATGTTAAACCATTCAGTTGAAAAAATAGCATTTATTTGGCTATTGTTGGTGGTGATTTCAGTTTTCCCTTACTAGGAATAATCTGACTCTCAATCAGGAGTGATTAAATTATAAAATTATGACATAAGCAGTGGAATACCATGCTGTTGTTAAAAAGAATGAAAGAAGTCAACAGGGGCTCACGTGGAATGTTCAAGCAATGGTGTTAAGTAAAAACATTAAGTTGCAGACCTGTAGTTTGATACCCTATTTGAGCAGAAGAAAAAACTGTGCATGCATATGTACCGTTAGCGGCTCCCTCTGGAGCCTAAGCTAGGTGAGTGAGAACAGGGGTCTTCTACTTTTTACTTTATTTACTAGGTACTGTTTGAAATTTTTGCAAGAGTAGATATAATTTTTTTTTAACAAAAGAAAAGTCAAAGGACAAATTTTCATTTTTTCATCGAATGACCGTAACAGTCATGGTCAGTGACTTAGAAAGATAATCTGGTGAAACTGATTTGCTTAGAAGTGTCCTTTAAGATTCTGTTCCCACTCAGGTGGACACTTGGTCCGGCTCTGATGGAGTGCACTCCATCTCTGGGCAGAATACAGACGGAGGGGATGGTTGCAATAGTGGAGGAAGCCTGGGAGCACCATCAGAGATCTGTGGAATGGCCCAAGCTCAAGGGTGGTGTTAGCAGAGAAGAAGGCATTTTCAGAGCAGACTGAGGTATTTACCTGGTTGAAGGAGCCCAGGCAACGAGTAGTAGCTGGCCCAGAGCACAGCTAAGGAAATGGATATCTTACCTTCTGTAAAAAGAGGTTCGTTCACTTCAGTACTCTTAGAGGAAAAACAGTTTCAAGAAGGCAGAACACGAGTGGGCTGTGAGGAGGCCTTACTGGGGCTCCTCTGTCACCAGGTAAATCTTGGGGATCAGCGCCAAGTCTGGGAGGGCAAAGGCACACTGACAGGAAGTGGGGTGCAGTAGGGCAACAAGATTTGTATTCTTGTCCTAGAGCTGATACCACGTCATCCTCTGGCCTGTTCTTGGTGGGATGTCCCACTCCACGCTATAAAGGGTTTAAAGGGAGGATCAATTGCGAACAGCTGAGAAAGTGCTCAGCCAAGGCACAAAGCACTGTACATCGTAAAGTGGTCTTTAAGGAGGTGTCCACCTCGCCTCTCTGCTTTACCTCATTTTATTCCCGGAAGTGCTTTTTCAGCTTCCCCGTCCTTTGGGCATCTTTCTCTCACCACTCTTGTTTTGGTTTCCTGCTTGCCCACCGATTCCCTTGTTAGAGTCACACCACACGGATGGTTCCCCTGGCTGCTGACAACAGAGGTGACGGGTTGGCAGTTCTGATAGTACAGATGTTGTTTCTTTCTTCCTCAGAGAACCTGCCTCTAGCTGATAGGGCTCTATCAACGTGGCCAAGGCTCCTTACCAGAGCCCCAGATGCCTCCAGCGCTGGAGGGCAGCTGCCGGTCGTGGCGCCCCGTGTGCACACTCTGTACCAGCCCCCGGCCTCCGGGGAGACAGTGGGCTCACCGACCCCTGGGAGAGCAGCCACTGTTCCTCCCCAGTCCAGACCTTCCCACGGGAAAACTCACGGACCGCTTTGGGAGCCACTGGCTACTAAACTGAGGTCGATTTTGGAAACTTTCCTCAGAACTTAGTAGCCACATGAGAAGGCCACCAGGAAAGAACCTCAAGTACTCAAACGCATCTGATAGGCAGTAACCTCCAGTGGTTCTCAGGAGGGAACCATGTCAGGGCGTCTCTGGGCCTCATCTCCCCAGAATTGCTTAGCAAGGACAAAGCAGCACATGAGGGAACAAGTTCAACACCAAAAGAGCCAGACCTTAAATGGCTCTTGTGAATGAGAAGTGATTTGCATAAACATGCATTCAGTGAGTGCTAAAGGCCTTCCTCTGGGGCCTTTCCGACATGTTCTCTCTTCCTGGTACGTTTTCCTCTCTTCTGACTCCTCTCATCCTTCAAGTATTAGTTTCCATGCCAGTTCCCCGGGGAGGCCCTGCCCCATTCCCTCACTGCCCTATGTCCCCTTATTATTCATTCTCAGAGATTTATTTTGCAGCATTTGCCACAATTGGAATCAAATAATTTGTGTAATTCGCATTTGTCCTGTTCACTGGTACATTCCCAGATGACAATAGGTGGCATCTGCCCCCATAACATAAAGCAAGATGCTGGGCTTGTAGAGGAGGTTATCAGAAAACCCAGCTTTGTTCTCCTTAGCTTCTGGCTCCACAGTGGCGCAAGGGCTTGATGTTGAGCAGTCAGCTGACGTGGGAAATCAGAGGGTTTCTATGGAGAGTTGAGAGTGTGCTTCCCCTCACCACAGGCTAATGAGAGTGGCTTCGTGGAGACCACTTAAATGTTGGCAAGGATGCAGAGAAAAGGGCACCTGGTGCACTGTTGGCAGGAATGCAAATCGGTGCAGCCACTGTGGAAAACAGTGTGGAAATTCCATAAAAAATTAAAAATAGAACTACCATATGATCCAGCAATCCCACTTCTGGATGCTTATCCAAAGGAATTGAAATTAAGTTCACAAAGAGACACCTGTACTCCCATGTTCATTGCAACACTCTTCACAATAGCTGAGATATGGAAACAACCTAAATGTTTATAGACGAATGAATGGGTAGAGACAATGTGGTAAATACATACAGTGGAATATTATTCAGCCTTAAAAAAGAAATCCTTCCATTTGTGAGAACATGAATGGACCTGGAGGACATTATGCTAAATGAAATCAGCCAGACAGAGAAAGACAGATACTATGTTTTCTCAATTATGTGTAGAATCTAAAATAGTCAAACTCATAGAAGCAGAGTAGAATGGTGATTACCAGGGCCTGGGGTGGGGGTGGGGTGGAGATGGGGAGGTGATGGTCGAAGGGAACACAGTTTCGGTCATGCAAGAGAAATAAGTTCTGAGATCCATTATACAGCACAGTGCCTATAGCTAACAATACTGTACTGTATACTTAAAATTTGCTAAGAGGATAGATCTTCTGTTAAATATTTTTATCCCGTGTGTGTACACACACACAAATAATGATAATAAAGGGGGCAAGAGGAAACTTTGGGAGGTGATGGGTACGTTTGTGGCCTTGCTGCTTTCACGGTGTACACTTATCCTCAAACTCTTTGAATTGTGCACGTTAAATATGGACAGCTTTTTACATGTAATCATTCTTCTATACAGTCAAAAAGAAAAAACCTGCTTTGTGACTCTGCAAGCTTAGGGGTCACAGAGGGGGCTGGAAACTGATTTATGTCTGAGAAACCTCCAGTCCTCCACCAGAGTGGAGGATGCATTTGGAGGTCACTACACCTGCATAGGTAGCAGGCCCGAAGCGCTTACGTTTGTTTGCCGCTGGGGTGGGAGGGTGATGAGAGACCAAACACCTCTAGTTGGCATATGCTGGCCTGGTTCTTCAGAAAAGGGCTCTAAGCTGCTAGTTTCCTGCCTGTAGAGGTCAGGGGTGTGCAGTTGGAGGGCCACCCCAAGGAGATGCCCTGGAAACACCCTGAGAGGCTGGAGAGCTCAGCAGGGTGCTGTCCCAGGCAAGGGGGATGGGCTCTGACAACGCCTAGAAGCAGCCAAGGGCAGATTTCAGAGGCGCCGTCAAATAGGCCTTTTCCTTCCCCTTATGCCTCCCCCACTGCCCTCTGTTCCTTCAGCCCTGGGAGGTGCCAAGAGGTGGGAGGAGGGGGGAGGGTGGCAAGAAGCACTTGGCTTCCAGCCTAAATCAGGCCGAAGCTGGAAGAAGGGAGAAGATTTAATTTTAAATGCATTTCAGAGTTTTGGCTATTACACCAGGCTGGACTTACTAGTTCCTGAAATGAGACCTATGCTAAAAGTGACCACAGGACTTAACCATCTAAGAGTAGCTGTCCTAGAGGAATTGTGAGACTTGCCAGAGATCTCATCTCTGGGGACAGAGAAACAGCCACGAAAGTGGGTTTGTGAGATTGCCCTACCCAGTCCCTCTAGTTGGATGCAACAATCTCTGTTTCATCCTAATATAACCATGGTGTGTAGATATTATCCCAACCTACCAGTGGTGATGGAAGGAAGATTCAGGAGTTTGGGCAAATTGCCCTGGGTCTCAGGTTGGTAAATCTCAGAACCAGGTCTCAGCCCTGGGGTGTAGGACTCCATGTTCCATTTTTGGCTGTCTACGCTGCAAGGCATTTTCAACTTTACTTCCAGACTTTGCATGTCTTGCTTGTAGGTCCCTGGTTCTGAACTGGCCTTCTCACTATTGATAAGCCAAGTCATCGTTAACCAAAAACAGAGAAGAAATGGTAATACATGCAGGTTAACAGAAGGGAGGGGCCATAATAGATCATTCAGGTGAGAACAGTGAGTTAAGAGAAGGGAAGTGCAGGTGGGGAGGTGATAACTGGCTACCGCAGCAACAAAGGCTTGTCAACAGGGGCCGAGAGGGGAAGGGAGCAGAACGGGGACAGGAGGAGCTTTGCCCACTGTCCCTAGTGCCCCCTCACATTTGTTCTCAGCTGCAGAGTCTGTAGCTCAGGTGGCCATGAGAGCCCTGGAGACCCTCTTGGCACCCCTTTGACAAGGCTGCCTTAAATGAACTCTATTCCTTGGGAGGAGAAGGGAAAGCTTACAGGTGTAAGAGGGAGAGTCATTTTCACAGGAGACTTTTCCCCAAAGCATCGTAACTGAAATGAAGCTTGTCAACCCCCTCTGGTAACTAGATGGCGAGAAGCACTTACAGACAAGGCTCTTTTAAAAACTCTCCCCTATGAAGACACGTGGAAAAGAGAATTAATAGAGAGACTATTAAAAGTTAAGCTTTAGTCTGGAACAAATGCGTCAGCACTGTAAGTTACTGGTAGCGGTGATGTTAAGAGAAGCTATAATGTGGTGCTTGAAAAGTTCACAGAGAAAACATTCTGCAGAGCAATCAGGAGCAGAGACTTTGAAATGCTCGAGGTTGTGTTTATCTACCACAGGGACTCAGTCACGGTTATGCGAAAATCTAATAGGGTTTTCAGTTCTGGCTGGCTGTTTGTTTGTCAGGTATATTGCTACAAAACTCTCCAAGTCGAAATAAAAGATGGAAAGCAATAATTAGAAAATAAACAGCAAAAAAATACGTATAGAAAACTTACTAGGTGCCAAGCACCACTCCACATATATGTGATCACAACAACCCTCTGAGGCAGGTTACTACCCCACTCAGGGTGGGAAGCTGAGGCTGGAGGGCTTTGCAGGCTCGCCCATGCTCTGCAGCCTGACTCTGCCCTGAACGGCTGGTGGTGTGACGTCTCGTTTGGCACTTTCCCCCTCCTCCCTGTCTTCGTATCACTTGCCAGCAGTGGCTGCTGGGCTGTTCTCAGCTCCTCCCTAGGAAGAGTGTAAGATCCTGAGGTCTCCTCCTGCTCTGGTGGCTGTCATTTAAACATCTTCATTTCATCATCTACGAAATGAAGACAGTTGTTTGTTCTAGGTGCTGTTGACGGGCCCTGCTAGCTCTATCATTGCAGGAATCCCAAAGTCCTTTGATTATCCTCAAAATGTCAACTGCTTGGAAGGTTATGGAAGCACTAGGCGTTAAAAAAAAAGGTCAGGAAAAGCACATGTCAAATTTAAAGGAAGATCAGGCTAGAGACGCTTAGACTGCCATCCTCTACCATGTCCCTGAGAAGTGGGGAAATGAAACCAGAACCTATCTGTCAGTTATGATAAACAATAAAAATAACTTTTTAAACCATTTCATTTTATGTTCCAAACCATTATAGACCACGTAGATGCTCATATTCCAGAGGTGACTAGAGGTATTGTTGGAAATAGTGTTGGAAAGAGCTGTACCTTTTGAAGGTGTCCAGTTAGTTATTCAGGGCAAAGGGATTCCCAAAGTCAATCTGCCATCAGTAACTCATTCCTTAATCATGACTTCGGGAAGATAAAGTGGCAAGGCACACAAACCTGAATGATACAGCAGACTTTCGCAGTAATCCAAATCCTCTGGCCACATGAATTTTAAATGACATATATGGATAGCCTGCCTCATTCATTCTTTCAGTAAATTACTACTGAGCACCTTCTCTATGCCAGGCACCAGGCTAGAAGCTGGGGACACACCAGTGAACAAGGCAGTCTCTACTCTCATGGAACTTATTTAATTAATAATACAATTAGTATTTAATTATAATTGTGATAAATGCCGCAAAGG